CCTTGCCCACCTGCTGCACCACCAGCCGCCTGCTGCAGCCCTTGGCCTCCACGTGCACTTTGGAGCTCGCACTCAGCTTCTTCCCATCCTTGTACCACGTCACCTCTGTCTGGGCCTGGGCCACCTCACAGCTCAGGGTGGCGCTGGCCCCCGCCTTGGCCTGCACCTCACTGCGTGCTGGCTGCTCCTTGGCAAACACGGCCGAGGGCTCTGGGGACAGAGAGGGATGAAAAGGTTAAGAGACACAGAGCTGGTACTGCCTAGGTCACAGGGATGAAAGCTTCAGAGTTCAGTAAATTTCCTACCTGGAACAAATGCCATCATGTATCCAGCAGGGTGTTGGAGTGTGTCTGCGAACATATGTCTCCTGTCCTGGAGCCTGAGTGTACATTTGGATGTGTCCTGACTCAAGAGCAATTCCTAAGGCTGGTGCAAGGTGGCAGAGGTTCCTCTGGCTTCTGTCCCTGCTAGTTCTCTGTCCTTCCAGGTGACAGCCAGCCCTTGTGGGCAGGTGGGACTGTTCACTGCTAAACCCCCAGCACATGGTGTGCCCACTACACACTACATCTTATCAGTGTAACTCCCATGCAAACTGCAATAATTCATGTACACAGCCCAGGGAAGTTTGGTGTGCCTGTCCCCACATAAACAAAACAACAAACGGAAGAGGTTTAGCCCCCCACTCATTACTGACCATCCCCAAAAGTAACCACTATCCTGACCTCCCCACCACCAGTCACTTTTGCCTGGTCTTTGATTTTCACATGAATGCACACTACATTGTGTGTTCCTTGGGTGTGTTTTCTTTCCCTTGACACAATGTGAGATCCACCTGTGCTGCTGAATCGACGGATAGTTTTCCATCATATGAGCACCTCAGTTTATCTTTCCCGTGCCTCTTATGATTTGTTTCGGCTGTTACCAATTTGGGATATGGTGAGTAAAGCTGCTATGAACGGTCTTTCTTGTATGTCTCTTTGGGGGCACACAAAACTGCTGGGACATAGATATGGCTACACTGACTTTAACAGATATTTCCAGAGCGTTTTCAAAAGTGGTTGTGCCAACTTACACTCCCACCAGCCGTGTGTGAGAGTTCCATTTCCCCACACCCTCACCAACACCTGAGATCACCTCTTCTCAAAAACTGTGTACGTCCCATTAAACTCAAGTGCATACACACAGAGTCTCAGGGATTCCATGCTGCAGAGGCAGCCGGCAACGCGTACAGTCATGGGCACAACCCATGTGAATGGTGGCCCACTGCATGCAGGCACGGGGCAGCTCAGTGGTGGCTGAGAAGGCAAGAGTCAGCACACAGCCTACCGAGGGAGGCAGACAGACAAGCACACCAGCCATGACGGCAGCAACACAGTGCTGGGGTGAAGTTAAACGATGTGACATGCATGGGTCCCTAGGCTCCGGGGTCAGGGCAGACCTCTCTAAGGAGGCAGCTTTGATTAAAGCGTAGGGGAGACATTCTACGGAGGTGAGCCCAGAGCCGGGCTCTTCTGCAAGGATGCTGTGAAGTCAGTGAGGATGGTATAAGGGAGCTGCTCGGGGATGTGGGGTCACACTGGCCCCTGTTTGTCCCCTGGGGGCATCTCTGCATCTGGGTTTGACATGATAACGACAATGAGGCAGAGCTGCTGCTAAAAAACAGGGAAACCACCAGCAGGTGCACACTTGTGTGCGCAGAGGGATGAAGTTAGAGTTTGAGGAGCCAGGTCCCGGGAAGAGGGACCTTGGAGAATTGAACCACCACACAGCCACATTCCCCTCACAGGGTCTGACGAGTCCTGAAGCTGCCTGGCACAGGAAACTAGGAAGCCCCACAGAAAACCCCTGAAAACCAGAGCACAGAGCACACTCTGGCACTTCGCATTCCAGGGAGACAAAGATTAGCGCTGAGCATCTGCTGGGAAAGGGGCCTCACCCACACCCGAGCATCTGCAGGAATTTGGGGAGGACCGCGCCCAGAATTAGGGCACACCAGAGACAGAAGACCCTGACCAAAACCGCAAGGCAGCCCCATCAGCATGGTCCTGGAATGAGCCGAAGTTTGTTTGCCCTCTCCATGCCTAGCACAGGAAGGAACAACCCTCTTTCTGGAATAAGACAGCATCATCCATACCCAACAAGTTTTCTCATGCAATGTCTGACAGTCAATCGAAACGTTGCTGGTGTGCCAAGGACAGAAATAAATAGAAAACAAAACAAAAGGACAATACCAGATGATGGGTTATTATGTTTTTTCAGACTGGGATATGGGCATAATTAATACTGGTTTTTTTTTTCTTTTCTCATTTTTATTTTTATTTTTAAAAATTTTATTTATTTATTTTTTAAAGCTGTGGTCTTTTTAACTGTATTTTTTTTAAAAGTAAGCTCTACACCCAGTGTGGGTCTTGAACTCATGACCCTGAGATCAGGAGTTGAATGCTCTACCAACTGAGCCAGCCACGTGCCTCTCTTCTCTCATTTTTTTTATCTCTTCTGTCAATTTTATTTATTTATTTATTTTTAATTTTATTATGTTATGTTAGTCACCATACATCATTAGTTTTTGATGTGGTGATCCATGATCCATTGTTTTCGTATAACACCCAGTGCTCCATGCAGTACATGCCCTCCTTAATACCCATAACCAGGCTAACCAATCCCCCCTCCCCCCTCCCCTCTAAAACCCTGTTTGTTTCTCAGAGTCCATAGTCTCTCATGGTTCATCTCTCCCTCCAATTCCACCCCCCATTTTTCCCTTCCTTCTCCTAGTGTCCTCCATGCTATTCCTTATGTTCCACAAATAAGTGAAACCATATGATAATTGACTTTCTCTGCTTGACTTATTTCTCTTAGCATAATCTCCTCCAGTCCCATCCATGTTGATGTAAAAGTTGGGTATTCATCCTTTCTGATGGCTGAGTAATATTCCATTGTATATATGGACCACATCTTCTTTATCCATTCATCTGTTGAAGGGCATCTCGGCTCTTTCCACAGTTTGGCTATTGCGGACATTGCTGCTATGAACATTGGGGTGCATATGGCCCTTCTTTTCACTGCATCTGTGTCTTTGGGGTAAATACCCACTAGTGCAATTGCTGGGTCATAGGGTAGCTCTATTTTTCAATTTTTGAGGAACCTCCACACTGTTTTCCAAAGTGGCTGTACCAACTTGCATTCCCACCAACAGTGTAAGAGGGTTCCCCTTGCTCCACAACCTCTCCAACATTTGTTGTTTCTTTCTCTGTCCATTTTTGCCATTCTAACTGGTGTTAGGTGGTATCTCAATGTGGTTTTGATTTGATTTTCCCTGATGGCTAATGATGATGAACATTTTTACATGTGTCTGTTAGCCATTTGTATGTCTTCTTCAGAGAAGTGTCTTTTCATATCTTCTGCCCACTTTTTGACTTGATTATTTGTTTTTTGGGTGTTGAGTTTGAGAAGTTCTTTATAGATCTTGGGTACCAGCCCTAGTGTCATTTGCAAATATCTTCTCCCAATCTGTGGGTTGCCTCTTTGTTATTAATACTGTTTTAAATGAAAATTTAAAAATAGATCAAGGGAATCAGGGAAAAGATGGTGGAGGAGTAGGGGACCCTATTCCAACTGGTCCCCGGAATTGAGCTGGATATCTACCAGACCACTCTGAACACCCACGAAATCAGCCTGTGATGTAAGAATATCTGGATCTATCTATCAAACAGAATATCACAGGCGGTTGGTTTTGAGGTATGAAGCAGGGAGCTGTGATTCCACGGGCAGATATCAGAGGATAAATGGCAGCAGGAGGGACCCTGGCCATGGGGATCCTACACCACTGATGAGCGATAGCATCCCACGCTGGGGACAGGGCACAGACTCACAGATGGGTAGCGGTGAGGAAAGGACTTTAGGGCAGCCCCCCAGACGGAAACCCGGAGCAGTGGGGCCGCACATGCAAACTGGGGGCGGCGGGTGGTTTTAGAAGCACAAAGGGCAGAGACCTGTCCTGACCTGGAGACGAAGACTGGGAACCCTGCTGAGGGGTGCACAACCCAGGACGCTGCAGTTTATAGCAGCACAAACAGAAACGGAGATAGTGTGGCCTGGAGAGCTCACTGTACAGACTGCGATCTCTCTGCTCTGAGGCAGAGGGTAGGAAACCATCTCTTCTGCTCTCTGAGAAGAGACGTGGAAAGCCACCAGGGAAAGCCATCAGAGAACAAAAGCCCCCCAAAAAATGGTTTTCACTTAGCCCATCCCCTGCCACAGAGGGCAGGGCAACTCTGTCCAAACAGGGTTGCCTGAGTAACTGCGTGGCAGGCCCCTCCCCCAGAAGACAGGCTGGAAGAACAAGAGGCCAGCAACCCTAAGATCCCTAGAAAACAGGTGCATCTTCCTTAGGTTGTGGTCAATAATTTGGACTCTGTACATTCCCTCAACCACCCATCAACAGAATGACGAGGAGGAGGAACCCCCAAAATAGGAAAGACTCAGAGATTGTGACTTCTGCCACAGATTTACAAATGGATACACATATAACCAAGATGTCGGAAATGGAATTCAGGGTAGCAATTGTGAAGACAATAGCTAGAATGGAGAAATCGATTAATGGCAACATACAGTCTCTAAGGGCAGAAATGAAGGTGAACTGGCAAATCTTAAAAATGCTATCAGTGATTTATTTCGCTCAGCATAATACCCTCCAGTTCCATCCCCATCGTTGGAAATGGCAAGATTTCATTCCTTTTGATGGCTGCTGCATAATATTCCATTGTATATATATATACCACATCTTCTTTATCCATCATCTGTCGATGGACATCTTGGCTCTTTCCATAGTTTGGCTATTGTAGACATTGCTGCTATAAACATCGGGGTACACGTACCCCTTTGGATCCCTACATTTGTATCTTTGGGGTAAATACCCAGTAGTGCAATTGCTGGGACGTATGGTAGCTCTATTTTCAACTTTTTGAGGAACCTCCATACTGTTTTCCAGAGTGGCTGCACCAGCTGGCATTCCCACCAACAGTGTAGGAGGGTTCCCCTTTCTCTGCATCCCCGCCAACATCTGTC